ATACGCGCCCCCTGTCACGAGCGTCCCGACACACGTGCCGCGACATGGTCACGCCGACACTCGCCCCGACACGCGCTCGTACTGGCCCGCCCACACGCACCTATACATTCCGAAAGCGGAAGTAACGACAATGCGACAGCGCCACTCAGCCATCACAGCTCCAGCTGAGGATGGAGAGGGATGAGAGAAGGGTCAGTGAATAGAGGAAAGGCAAGGGGAGATGAAGTAGACATGGGGGAAAAAGGAAGGTAAGTGAAGAGGGGGGGAAGAGGAAAGGATGGTGAGAGGAGACAAGGGGTAGTGCAGAAAAAGAGCAGAGTGGGAGAAATGGGGCAAGACGGGATGAACAAATAAGCGGGAAGTGATACGGATGAGAGAGAGAGGGGGGGGAGAGAGAGAGAGAGAGAGAGCAAGCAAAGCGAATGCATTATTGCTGACGGTGGCAAACGCGCGTGTCGCAGGCTGGAATGCAAGCAGAGCGCGCGCGGCGGAGGCGAAGGCGAAGGCGAAGGCGGAGGCGGGGGCGGAGGCGGAGGCGGGCGCCGCCGGCACCTCGGCCACGACCACGATCAGGAAGACTCTCTGGCGCCGCTCCGCACCGCCCTTTGACGTTTTCGACTCCATATAGCGCTTTTTATGAATAAACTTCCAAATAATTTTACAACACTTTTTATCATATATAACTCTCTTTATTTGGTTTCGTTTCATAGAATGTTCATTAAACTTTGTGGAGATATTTAATTAGGATTTTTTGTTTAATTTCGTTTCTAGAAGGAGATTAAAGAAGTATTTGAGTCCTTAGTAATTAGCTCAAGTGCCTTCTTATGCTATGTTAATCTCACTTTCCCGTTCCATAGTTCTCTAATGTACGGCAACGTCTCTTTATATATACACAGGCTGGGTCAGGGGGAAAGGTACATGTTTTGAACAAAAAACTTTAAATAAACATATACCCTTTTCTTAACCGTTTCAGGGTAAACTAATGAAAACAACTAGGAACGGGAAAAGTGCAAGTGACAGTAAATAAAGATACTGTTGTATTATGGTTTGTTTAATGGTGTAAGTTTCCTCACAAAATATGTTCAAACAGTCGACCGTCAACTTCAATGCAGTTTGCTGTTCTTGTAGTCAGGTGTGTTACTTATCTTAGCTGATTTGTGCATTCCTTTACTTGACCACAAGCATGTAAAATACGAGCGAGCAGTTCCTATCTTGCGTTCACTCTGCGCTAGTAGACTTCGCTCATACGCCAACCCCACAAACAGTAATCCAATGGGGTAAGGTCGGGTGACCTCGGTGGCAAGCAATGACCCCATGCCGACCGATCCAAAGATCAGGATAAGTTTCATTGAGATTCTGTGTCACTTGCCATAAGGAATGTGCAGGAGCTCTGTCATGCTGAATGTACATACAGCTCGTGTTGTCAAAGGTATATCCTCCACGTATTCTGGTAAAACATTTTGAAGGAAATCAGGATATAGTGAGTCCTCCGTTTCTAGGAGGTTTTTATTGGTTTACCCTGAAACGGTTAAGAAATGGGCATATATTTAGTAGACGTTTTTGTTCAAAATCACCAGTAGTATCAATTAAAGCATTGGCTCACCCCTTGACTCACCCTGCATGTATGTATATGTGTGTGTGTGTGTGTGTGTGTGTGTGTGTGTGTGTGTGTGTTTGATACATACATATACATATGCATACATACAGTCAAACTCGGGTAAGTGAGAACTGGATAAGCAATAAAAAACTACAAGTGAGAGTAATTACCCGGTCCCTTCATTTAAACCCTCTAAAACCTCTATAAGTGAGAAATACAAACCTTTAGAAAGTCGTTTTTTTCTCTAACTCTATATCAGAAACTGCTACTTAGCTGAACCTCTAAGCGACAGTCGGATGTATTTAACATCTACTATTTATGTTACTTTTTAGATTTCGTGGAACTAACTGCAGTTTTATGTTCTTTAGTTTCGTGGAAGTTTTTTATTGTATTCTAATCGAATGTGTAAATGTGCGAATATACCGACCTTTTGGCAAACTACCTACAATACTGATAAGCATCAATTGTGAAGAAAGGTTTGGCGTGTACTCAAAATGTTAAAACGAAAAATCAATATGTTGTCAAGTGATAAACTTAAAATAATGAATCCATTCGACAGCAGGAATCGCAAAATGAATTTCAGAGTGAGTTTGGTTTTCTGGAACCTTATAACATTATGAAATCAAAAATATTGTATAAAGTCTCAAAATTCTGAGGTATACGGAAATATTAAGAAGACTCGACTTTACGAATTTCATTGAACATTAAACGATGTCTTTTAAAGGGGAAAAAACAAACCTCAATGAGAACATAGATGGACCTTTTTTTAAAAAAAAAAAAATATATATGCAGACAAAACTGGGAATTCTAAACTTTTCAGCTGGTAATGTCTGGTTAGAGGGTTTTCAAAAGTATCATGATATAGCTTACAAAAAAAAAGCCGGGGGAAGTTAATCTGAGGACCAACGCGTGTGTAATCAACGGACTAAAGATCTGCCAAATATTTTAGAAGGGTATGATTCGAATGATAATTCCTACATCAACAAGTTATGTTAACCAAATTTCGAGAAAGAGTATTGATTATAAACTCTTTAATATTATTTTAAATTCTATTATGATTATAATCCTTTTATAATTGAAATAATCACACGTATGAATACTTTTTATGATGAAATATCATTTAACAATTGAGAACAGCAATTATGATTTTACTAATAATACCTCGCAATACTAAAACAACGAGAACCTTGACACCATTTAAGTTGCGGACTAGCCTATAAAATAGGTCAATCTGATATTTATTTTTTTATTGTCCCACAACTCCATCATTTTTATTACACTTTGGTATTGGATAGTGTGAAGGACGTTTAAGAGATATATTTAGGTCTCATTTTCGTTGAAAAATAATTTTCGAAAATTACAAAAAATTTTTAAAAAATTGGCATTACCCTAAAACAACAATTATGAAGAAATAACTTTCCCGCAGTAAAATCTATTCCTTAAAGATATGTACAAGACGTACAGAACCAATAACGTGCAAGTAAAAATACAGTTATATACGATTTTTCAAAAATTTGAGTACTTTTCACGTAATTTTGCGTGAAATATAAGCAATTTTTAATTTGGTTTAAACATATTTTCTCAAAAATTTCATCAACAGTTTTGATTACATTTAGACCTCGGATAAAAAAGAATGCTAAAGAGAATGGTTCAGGACTCACATTCGTTGAAAATTCCGATTTTTGAAAATTGCAATAGATTCAAAAAATTACAGTGTCTTCCTACAACTACAATTACGAAGATAAACATTTTTCTTAGTGAAGTGGATTCATCAAAAACAGAGTTTCAAAGAATGTCATTTTATTTTTTCCGAAAATAAGTATATTTTGCGAAATTTTGTGTCAAACATAAACAATTTTTATTTTCTTTAAACCACATTTTCTTAAAAGTAGCTCAAAATTGTTAAATTAAATTAGGACCTTAGATAGCGTAAAGGACACTTAAGAGAATGGTGCAGGTCTAAAGTAAGTTAAAGTACTGATTTGTCGAAAACTGAAAAAAAAACCGCCTTTCAACAACCACAATTGTGAAGATACAATTTTTTTCTTAATGAAATGTGTTCATCAAAAACATATTCAAATAAGGTCGTGTTGAATTTTTCGAAAATACGAGTATTTTTTAATAATTTGGTGTCATAGACGCCCGCACCCAATTTCCTGCGCTTTGTGAAAGTAATATGAGTTGTGATTCTAGGCAGTTAGATGTTACGTAAGTTAAAATTTGTATATTTCATATTTTGTTGTTCATTTCTTACATTCGAGCTGTCGTTATACGTTTACAAATTAATATTTTAGAAATTATTTCAAACCTATTTCATAATCTATATATTTGTTGGTGTTGCGAGGAATGTTTGTGCATTCTCAAAGTATTTATGTATTTTCTTTCAAGCAATCCGCAATCCTTAATTGAAATTAGCCTAATTAGGTTTCATCTCTTAAAAATAAGATTTAAATATATTATGAAAAACATTTCTAGTCTTCAGTGAATCTTTAGAATGCAACAATGGCAATTCGCGCCGCGAGACGACAGCTGCAGTTCTGTGAATTACGTATAATTTTTGTGACATGATTTAGGTGCATGAAAATCAGTTATAGTTGTCAAAATTGTAATGACATTTGCATGAAAATATTTAGTTTTCGCACCAAATGTTCTACGATTTATAATGGGTTTTTCAGAAAAATGATGAATGATGTGAGTTCATTCAGAGAGAAATTGCGGGATAACTAGTATTACACAATCATTACTAAGGGCAAGAAAGTATGTACTGTTTTACTCCACTAGGTTGGATATCGCAGAACGTCGAGTCGAGTCAGATCGACCGGGGAATATTCATTTAGGATAAATTTCTACGATTTAGTTTAAGAGCTAGTATTTTCACAGGCGGACAGAGAGAGTCATGTGAAAAACACTTTTTCGGTATCATGGAATCCAAAACGTGTATTTCCATTGAAATCTTAAAATCTATTTCGGCAGCATTACGTAACTTTCTCTACACTACGTAAAGTATTCCGTATTTAAGAACTACTTGAAATTAGAATAAAACACAGGTATGCATTTAAAAATAGGGGGTGTCCAACAGTCCCTCGTCAGCGACAATTACTTATTGATGAGGCTCGATGCAATGTTCTTCCTCTCCGTGCATGCGCTAATTGTACATAGCCTGTGGCCATCGGCTCGACCTCGGCGCTGCGCGTGGCGGGCGCCGCCGATAAGGGGGCGTGCGCGTGTTGCCCCTTCGCGCACGTCCGCCGCCCGCGACACGTGAGAACACCGCCCCGTACAACAACTTACAAGCCCCAGAGCGCGCGTATAAAAACGCGCCGGCCGCTGCAGGCGTCACGCACAGTGCACTCGCACCCAACCATCGACCACCCGCAGCCCCCTGGAACATTACTTTCCCACCATGAAGATCGCACTGTTCTTTGTGGGAGTATTCGCACTTTCTAGTGCTCTTCCGGAGAATGCCGACTTAGTGAAGATTGATCCTTCTCTTAGCAAATACGTCATTGTTAATTCTCCCCTGAGACTCGCTGATGAAATTCTTCGACTTTACGAATCGCACCCCGGCAAGAAAGAAAATGACGGGGTAGTAATCATCCATGACTGCCCACATTGCCAGAACAATGGGGGAGACTGTTCGAGCTCCAGCAGCTCCAGCAGTTCTTCTGAAGAAATCGTCATCATTGAAGAAAGTTCCAGCTCAAGCTCCAGCAGTTCATCTGAGGAAATTATTGAGGTCATCATTGACGACAGTTCCAGTTCTAGCAGCTCTTCCGAAGAAATCGTCATTATTGAAGAAAGTTCCAGCTCAAGCTCTAGCAGCTCTTCTGAGGAAATCATTGAGGTCATCATTGAAGAAAGTTCCAGCTCAAGCTCCAGCAGCTCTTCTGAGGAAATCATTGAAGTCATCATTGAAGAAAGTTCCAGTTCTAGCAGCTCTTCCGAAGAAATCGTCATCATTGAAGAAAGTTCCAGCTCAAGCTCTAGCAGCTCGTCTGAGGAAATCATTGAAGTCATTATTGAGGACAGTTCCAGTTCTAGCAGCTCTTCCGAAGAAATCGTCATCATTGAAGAAAGTTCCAGCTCAAGCTCCAGCAGTTCGTCAGAAGAAACGGTAATCATCATTGAGGATTCGAGTTCTAGCTCTAGCAGTTCTGAAGAAATCATTATCCAAGAGAGTTCTAGTTCTGAGTCTTCCGAAGAAGAGAATACGATTGTCCTCGTGGATTGCGGTGACCATGAAGTATCTTCTTCGTCTTCCTCAGAGGAAATAATCATAGTCATCGAAAACAGCAGCTCCAGTTCAAGCTCAGAGGAAGTCGTAATAGTGGATGACTCTAGTTCAGAAAGTGAAGAGAAGCGTACTCTGATCATTGTCGTAGAATGCGGAGACGAAGTATCTTCTGTGTCATCTTCATCATCTGAGGAGATCGTCATAATCCAAGACTCTAGCAGTTCGAGTTCATCCTCATCATCTGAAGAGATCGTCATTGTGGATCACAGCTCTAGCAGCTCTAGTTCATCATCGGAGGAAATCGTCATTGTGGATCACAGCTCTAGCTCTTCGTGTTCTTGCTAAGGGATTTCTGATCTTTGTAATTTCTGGCATAAAATCATATCTTTTTTCACATTGGTGTGATAATAAGACTTGTCAATGGGCTCAAACTGAATGTAATTGTATGTATGTTACCTTTCTTTGCCTTAAATGGCAATAGAATATAACTTATTTAATTTGTTGGTTTAATGAGGTTTACAATGTTGCTCACGTTGCTTTCAACATTCAATAAATTTTTTGAATAACTGAATCGATGAATATATATTTATTTTGTTCTCTAAAATTTACTTATCGTTTCTCAGAAACGGAAAAAAGTTATGGGCACAGAACGTATGTCTGAAAAGGACACTGTATTCTCAAGGTGAGTATATTTGCAATTACCTCATTCCCCGTCCTTCCCGTCGTATAATTTAACAAAATTGCCAATTCCTTCTCCCAATAGCGTGTACATCTTTCTGGAATGAACTCATAGTATAATATAATGACTGGTGCTACAACAGCTCATACGTTCTCTCCGTTTTGTAACTTTTGTAATTTTCGAAAATGCAAAGAGTTCAACGATAATCGGAACTGCGCTCTTTTGTAAGAGTATTTCAACTATGGGGAGGCGGAGCGGAATAATCCAAAAATGTTGTGCCCGTTTAGAGAAAAAGTTTTTATTTGACTTATTTCAGGTAAAATTATGCAAAATTATTCATATTTTGAAGAAAGTTAGCATGGCCTCTCTCAAATATCTAAAGAAGATTTTTGAAGAAAATTTCATTAAGAAAAAATATCTATACATTATAGTTGTAGAAAGACGCCGAACTTTTTTAACTTTTTCAATTTTTAAAATTTGCATCTATGTTTCTGAACAATTTGAAAATGTCGTTGAGGCTTCCCGAAAAGTTCCCAAAAATGAAAATGTTTCAAATTCAAGAGACTGCAAACCACTGTTCAAAAAATTACGAATACTACCACTCCCATGCATGAACATATTTGAAATATTAATCTTCACCAAGAAGACACTTATGGGAAACAAGGATTCTGTTACCCTGAACACAAAAGTTCTTAATTATGATACTAGAAAAAAAAAGGAATCTGCATTTCCCACACAATGAAACTTCACTCTTTCAAAAAAGTACCCTTATTGAAGGAAGGAATTGCACTATATAACAAACTTCCTAGCAAATTTAAAAGCTTAAACTCGATACACACATTCGAAAATAAACTGAAAGATTTCCTATTAAACCATACATTCTACAGCACAAAAGAATATACGCATCTTAAACACGTATCTACATCAATATAAACTAGTACTAATAATTTTTGCATTTTCTGTTGGATGTTTTGAAAAAGAAAAAGAAGAAAAGAAGAAGAAAAATAAAAACAGGAGAGGAGAAAGAGGAGGAAGAGAAAAACAGAAAAGAAGAGAGAAAAAGAGCAGGAAGGAAAAAGGAGGAAGAAAACACAAGAAAAAGAGAAGAGGAGAAAAAGAAAAGAAGAAAGAAAGAACAAAAGAATAAAAAAAGATAAAAAGAGGAAAAAGAAAAAAGAAAAAAAAAGAGAAGGAAGAGAAAAAGAAGAGAAAAGAGGGGAAAAAGAAGAAGATAAAGAGAAAGAAGAAAAAGAGAAAAAGAAGAAAAGGAGAAGAGAGAAAAAAGGAGAAAAAGAGAGAGAGCCAGGAACGGGATTAGAAAGAAAAAAAAGAGCGGGAAAAAAATGAACTACACAGAAAAAAAAGACAAGAAAGAAAAAAAAAAGAAAAAAGAGAAAAGAAAGAAGAAGAGAAGAAGAAAAAAAGGAGAAGAGAAAAGAAAAAAAGAGAAAAAAAAAAAGAGAAGAGAAAAAAAAAAAGAAAAAGAGAAAAGAAAAGCGACAAAAGAAAAAAAAGAAGAAAAAAGAGAAAGAGAAGAAGAGAGAAAAGAAGAAGAAGAAAGAAAAGAAAACAGAAGACAGGAAGAGAGAAAGAGAAGAAGAGAAATTGCAGATAAGTGACAAAGAGAAAAAAGAAGAAACAAGAAAAAGATACAATAAAAGAAAGGAGATAAAAAGAGAGAGAGAAAAGAAAAGAAGAAAAGGAGAAGAGAAAAAGAGAAGATAGGAAAAAAAAGCAAAAGAGCAAAGGGAGAAAAAAAAAAAAGAGAGAGAAAGACAGAGAAAAGAGAAAGACAGAAGAGAGAAAAGAAAACAAAAAGAGAAGAGAGAAACACAAAGAAATACGAAGAGAGAAAAAGAGAAAGAAAGAGAAGAAAAAAGAAGAAAAATATAAGACGAGAGAAGAAGAAGAAGAAAGAAAGAAGAAAGAGAAAAACAAGAAAAGAAGAAAAGAACAGAAAGAGAAAGAGAGAAGAGAGAAGAGAAAGACAGAAGACGGAGAAAGAAAAGAAGGAGAAAAGAGAATAGGGAGAAGAGAGAAGAGAGAAGAGAGAAGACGAGAAAGCAAGAAAGAAGAAGACAGAAGAAGAGAAGCAGAGAAAAGAGAAGAGAGAAGAGAAGATGCAGAAGAAGAGAAGAAGAGAAGAGAGAAGAGCTACGAGAAGCAAGAAAGAAGAAAGAAGAGAAGAAAGAGAAAAGAAAAAAAAAGATTCGCCAGCTTACCTGTCAACCTGCTTGTCGCGAAAATCATCTCAACATTGGAGACTAACAAAGTACCAATTATGCAAAAACAACCATTAATAATTACACAAAATATTCCACAATAATCTATAAGCTTTCTCTAATCTGTGTCGTGACAAGTCATACAAAATGAGTACAGGCAAGTATGTAAATATTGTTAATACAAACAAATATTCACAACATTATATTGTTTAAAATATTGATGTCAATTTATATCAATACCAATCTTAATATTAATTTCTCACATAATTAATTAACAAACACGCGTATGTGAAATTAGCATACTAATAAAAATACCCACAAATCAAACCTAAGTACCAAAAACCATGTCCACACTAATAGACAGGCATCTTATCACTTATACCTTGCAAGCGCAAATACACGAAAATTCTACTCCTTGAACACATCAGACACACCAGACCATCTCCACAAGCAATTTTTCCACAATCCCCATTTCTTAAATCAAGAATGACTTTCGATAAATATCGTTTTAACGTAGAATAAAAATATTTTCCTCATCCGGGCCTGTAGTACGCACGGAACATCCAATAAAAACCAAAAGGTAGGTTGAAATTAATTTAGAATTTAGTAACGTGTGAGAAACACATAAGTTCTATTAAAATTATAAAGCCAAGCCAACTTACAATAATAATACAAGAAGCAGGTGGCTCCTCGTACGTTGCACCATTGCACATACCCCCATAATCAAATTTCATAATAAAAAAAATAAAATAATAATAATAATAATAAATAATAATAATAAAATAATAATAACAATAATAATAATACAGCAACAACAACAGCAACAACAACAGCAACAACAACAACAGCAACAACCAACAACAACACAGCAACAGCACAACAACAAACAACAGTCAACAACAACAACAACCAACAACAGCAGACAGCAACAGCAACAGCAACAGCAACAGCAACAGCAACAGCACAGCAACGCAAACAGCAACAGCAACAGCAACAGCAACACAACAGCAACAACAACAGCAACAACAACAGCAACCAACAACAGCAACAACAACAGCAACAACACACAACAACAGCACAACAACAGCAGCAACAACGCAGACAACAGCAACACAACAGCACAACAACAGCAAACAACAACAGCAACCAACAACAGCAACAACAACGCAACAACACAACAACAACAGCAACAACACAACAACAACAACTTTTGCTCATAAATACAGGCATACCCATGGTATGACAAGTCAGATATGCCATATAATAGGATATCCATACAATTCATATTCAGTATTTCTAAAAATTAAATGCAAACCATACATTAAAATTCAATTCAATTCTCGTACTAAATGCAATACATATAATGCTAATTATTTACAGGTAGGTAAGAGACAAGTTAAAAATCAATAATTATCATTAGAATAAAAAAGAAAATGGGGAAAAATAAAATAAAAGAAGTTCTTGATACATTCGCCTGTCTGGGCCTCCTTATATCCAAAACCAGTTGGGGGGGTTCC